CCCCGCCCCCACCACGCCTGCCCTCCTGCTCGCCCGGCCCGGCCGCTTCAGTGCGGAGACGCTCTGGACCAGACTAGAGAACACCAAGAGCACCAAGAGCTACGAATGGGTGCCGCCGGAAAGGGCGGGAGAGGCGCGAGCGGGGGAGTGCCCGTGGAGCTATATGCGCCCGTGAGGTGTGCTGCTGTGTGCCGCGGCCGGCTGCAGCTCACTCTGGCGACACGCGTCTTCCTCACGACTTTTCACTGATCCGATCGATCTGTCCCGGAGGCACCCCTTGTCCCCCGGCCGGCCGCGCCGACCCCCCGCTGTGCGTGCCGCGGTGCAGTCTGTTGACCTCCTTGAGGTGGCTGCGGGCCGCCGGGCCGGATGCGGTACTCCCTGTGCTCCTGGGCCGCCCCGCCGCCGCCGGCCGCCCTCCCCCGCGCCGCCAAGCAGGCCCCTGCCGACATCTTCCAATCAGCTCAATTGAGAAGCTGTGCTGTGCGGCGGTGCGGCGGTCTGACTGAGGCGGCTGAGCGCGACTGACTTGCCAAATGGCTGACTGTCCAGGCGCGCTCAGCCGGCGCAGCCGGCGCAGCGAGCCGCCCGCACGCCAACGGAGCCAGCGGCCTGGACGGGCCCACGCGACGGGGACGGGATGCCGTGTGGCTTTATCGTTTTCCCCACAAATGATTCTGGACCGCCCTGGACCTCCTCCTCCTCAGATGGGGAGGAGGAGTGAGAACAGAGCGAGATGTAAATTAAGCGCGTCGAGTTGGTTGAGCTGCGCGCGCGCGCCGAGTGCGCCCTGTGCTCTCCTCACCCCGGACCAGCCCTGCGCCGAGGCAGCGCACGCCAGGCAGGCCGTGCCGGACAATAAGTGTGCCCCCGCGCAGTTCCGTGAACCCCCGGGAGAGACCCCGCGCGCGAGAGGCACAAGCTCGCTCGGCCGCCGTGCGGTTAGCCGTGCGGCCCGCGCCCCGCCCGGGCACGTTGGGTTGCCGCCCCGCAAGGCGGCGGCGTCAAGTCCTCCTGGTGCTCTTTTGGTTGGAGGTTGGTGTGAAATTGACTCCGTGCGTCATTTCAAAGAGGAGAATTAACGTGGGAAAAAGCCTTTCAGAAAACAAAATTATTGAATCGCGAATGGATGCGCGTAATAAGGATTGTTTATGATTCGACGCGACGACGCTGCTTTCCCCGCGTCGTTATCTGCGGCAAAGGCGTGAAAAACAAACTGAAGCGGCCAGAGAGAGGGCTCTTGCTCTTGACGATGGGAGTCCGGTTCCCGAGCGGTGACCAACTGACCGCAATCCATACAGAAGTGTTTTACTTGTAACGCGCCCAGGAGTTCGCATGCACCGGCCTTGCATTTTCTTTTGCGGCGACCTTTAGGGGGCTGCGCTCCCCGCGCCCCGCCCCAAGCTGGCTCGCCAGGTGAGGCGGCGCAGCCGGGCAAAGAGGGAGAGCAGAGAGCAGGGAGCGACCGAGTGGCCGTAACAAATTTTATTAGCGGGGACCAGTGACCGCCGCGCCGAGCAGGTGCCCCCCGAAGATGGACAAGGGCCGCCTGGGCGACAAATACGAGTTGGTTGTCGAGCCCGTCCCGTCCCTCTGAACTCGCATTCCCTCGGTGAAGAACACGACAGCATTCAGGTGTCGGACTTGATTCGGTCCAAAGGAGGCTCAAGGCTCCGTACGTGAGATGTGTATTGGCACAAACAGGCTACGGATGTTATCGGGCTAGGTAGTACACGGTAGTACATGTTCCTCGGCCAGCCGCTCACGACTCCTATTATAACTTGCGTTGTTGCTAGAAAAATAGGGGTGAATCGGGATTATCGGGAAGCCCCATAAGATGGAAAATCTGAAAAGTCGGGAGTGGGACTGCGAATCTCATTACATTCAGGTGGAGAGCCAAGCCACTCTCAAGGGGGCCGCACAGAAACGTTAATTGTTCAGGAAGCGACACTCGGCGGGTGGTGCCGCGGCGGAGCTCTCGCTCGCGGGCCTCGGCAGGCGGCCGCGCCGCACGCCCCTCTTAATCTTATCAGTCGTGATTGCTGCAGCTTCGAATTGGGTTAAGTTATCTTTTTACTCTCCCGTTTCGCCAGAAAAGTTTTAAATGCTGCATACTGATTAGCAGCAGGACGCCCGTGCACTGCGGTGTGGGTGGACCGGGCGGACGCCATGAACACACCGCCGGCAGGGCACCGTGGCCACGAGGCCAGGACCTCTGCAGGCCGCCGGGAAGAGCCGAGCCGAGGTGAGCCAAGGGCGCCAGGGTCGCGCGGGGCGGGGCGTCGCGGTTCACTCGTCGGGGGCAGCAGCGCCGGCGGCGGCAGAGGCCCCTCCTGGCGCGTCGGGTCGGCCCTCCTCCCCACCTCCCTCCCTTCCGCCTTGATTGACGACGCGTTTTGGCCGCGCACTTCAATCACCTCTCTGCGGGGCGTGGCCGGGCGTAGCGCGAACCCCGCGGGCGTAGGTGCGAGGCGCGGGCAGGCGCGGGCAGGCGCGGGCAGGCGCGGGGGAGCGGCGAGGGCAAACGTGATGTTTCGGGCATTGTCCTCTGCAGCCCGGGCCAGCCTCTCCTAGCGCGGCTCGTGCGCTCGACGAAAATAAACAGCCGTCCCCCGTCTCGTAACTTAAATCGTGTTTTTAAAAGTGTTAAAAGAGACCTTTCATTTCAAGTGCAAAGCTTGTTGTGGTGCCCATTAATAAATGTAGGGTGCATAAACCACCCGCCCGCACCCTCCCTTTCATGAGCTAGCATCTACGCAAATAGACGCCGATACCGAAAGGGAGCGACCACAAGAGGCGCGGCCCGGCCGCGGAGGCTGCCCTCTGTGCAGGGCGCCCACGGCACGGCACCCCGCTGGAGCTCGGATAGGCAGACCCGCCACACGCTGCCGCAGTGCGGCGCGGCCCAGTCCAGGGCTGCGGGGGCGACGGAGCCGCGGCCAGGGCCCGAGCCCGGGCCGGGCGTCAGATTGGCGGGAAGGGCGGGTATAGGCCGTGGCGGAGGCGGAGGGTCCTTGCAAGTAGAACGGCACTGCAGGACCCGAAAACCTTTACGTCAACACTGACCGCGGATATTTCTGTTCCTGTTACTGAGATGGCGGCGGGACTATGGCTGCGGCCCACTAACTCTAGAAGGGACAAACGGGCCTCCGCGATCAATCAGTGCACACGTCAGTTAAAAGTTTCGGGCAAGCAGACATGCCACTTGTGCACTGAACCGTGGCCCGTCGAATCCTAGGCGTAAAAATGTGCGCTCATAGGTGAGGGCCAAGATGCAGAACAAAGCCGTTTTAGTTTGAAGCTCGGGCGTGACCCGGCAAGACCACGGCGTTGCCGGCCCGGCCCAGACTTTGTGGCCCAATAGGCGTCCCCTGCACGGCCCTCGCCTTGCCCGCTCCCGGCCTTTGCGGCCTTCGGACGCAATCCGGTTCCAACCGGAATCCGGGTGCCAACCGGCTACCCACTGGGTCATCAGGCAACAGTCGGGTACCCGGCTCGGGGAAAACACCTGCTTGGTCATCAACAGGCGGCGG